TGAATTTTCTAATAGATCATACTTTCATTCAAATTGAATGTAGATATCACGTTCTAAACAACAGAGATCCACACTAAATAATTAATCGAAAATTCTTTTTTCTTTTATAAACTGTATTCTTTTATAAACTTCAACATAATCACATTCATTCACTCACTCGATAAGACGAGAAATTTTTTACCAATGACTCTATCACTAATCACTATCAATCACTATCGAATAATCACTGTTGGCAATTAAAAATCACTCGATTAAAGAAAGACACAACGTTATTATGACGCGACAATGCGACGATATTTACCCGGCGACAGCAAACAGTTTATGGTTATGCTAGGTTGCGGTAGGTTAAGGTATTAACAGCACTGTCGAACGTGAACATGTGCTTGATTGAAGACGCGACAATTTAGCGTATAATATTATTATCATATGATATTTATACATCGTATGATATTTGTTTTAAAATTAATTAGAATAAATAAATGTTTAATACTTTCACTGTTAATGTTCAATATTATTTATTATTAATATTAAATATTATTATTAAATATTCTTAAATATTATTATTAACATTAAATATTTATTTATTATTATTAAATAGTATTATTAATATTAAATATTTATTTATTATTATTAAATATTATTATTAATATTAAATATAGATAGATAGATAGATCATTTTATTCCTGCCCTTTACGGGGTACAAGAGGACCACCGTTCCTCTTACAAATCTTTTCTTTTACATATTCCTTTTCTCTCTCTACTCTCGCTCCCTACTACCGCACGCCGCCGCCGCACGCCACCTCCGCACGCCATCGCTACCCTACTCTCTCTCCTCTCTCTCCCTTTTTCCGCCAGACCATTCTCTTTCTCTCTCTCTCACTCTCTCTCTCTCTCCCACTCGCTCCGTCCACCGTCCGTTCGTCTCCCGTCTCTCCCCCCTCTCCAACCTCCCTCAGCCTCTGTAGTCTCCTCATCCATCCCTCCCCCCTTCCATCTTCTTCCAGAATCTCCAGTATCTTCTCTCTCCCCCCCTCTCCCTCCTCTCTCATGCATACCTCCACCACATGTTCCCACGATTCTTCTTCCCAACCGCATATCCTACACCTCCTCCCCTCCTCCCCTTCCCAATATCTCCCTTCCCTCATTTCACTCCCCAATCTAAACCTCGCTATCATTATCATCCTTCCCTCCCTCCCCTTTTCCTTCAAATATTCCGGTATCCCTACCACTCTCACCTCCTTATACCATCTATTCCATCTTGATTTCTCCACCCTCTCGAATCTCCCCTGCTGTTGAATCTCTATATTTAATATTAAATATATTTATTTATTATTATTAAATATTTATTAAACTGTTATGTGATTGAAAATCAATAATAATATGAAAATAATATAAAAAAAATATTATTAAATTCTGGCGTTTCAATCTCTCTTGGTTTTTTCTTATGGTTTTCAAAACGTAAGAAAATGTTCCAAATGTTCAAAAATATTGGTCGCTCTGAAAAAAGCGGATTGTTTCTGATCGCTCTAAAAAGGACGGATTAATTTAGAAATCATAGTAGGTGTTCGAAATGGCCCCCATCCGCCCAAATTAATTTAGCCGGGTAAATATCGTCGCGTTGTCGCGTCATAATAACGTTGTGTCTTTCTTTAATCGAGTGATTTTTAATTGCCAACAGTGATTATTCGATAGTGATTGATAGTGATTAGTGATAGAGTCATTGGTAAAAAATTTCTCGTCTTATCGAGTGAGTGAATGAATGTGATTATGTTGAAGTTTATAAAAGAATACAGTTTATAAAAGAAAAAAGAATTTTCGATTAATTATTTAGTGTGGATCTCTGTTGTTTAGAACGTGATATCTACATTCAATTTGAATGAAAGTATGATCTATTAGAAAATTCATTTCTCAAGAAATTACAGCAATACATCGAACAAGATAATAATAACTATTCTTTGGTGTTGTGTGGAAACAAATTTCGGGATGTCAAATAAACAGTGTTAGAGAAAATTAACGAAAGAGAGTGGTTTTTAGTGGGTAGGGAGTACCGAGTTGCTAATTCGACTCGGTACTCGAGTTCCACATAGCTCACCGGATCGCCCGGTGAGTATGTATAAAATGCATTTTCCCCTCTCTCGTAAAAAAAAAAGAACGGTACAATATAAAAAAATAATTAAAGTGAAAATGTGTAACAATAAAAAGTAAATAATAATTTTAGTAAGAGTAATAATAACTTCGAGTAAGCAAATGAGAGAGAGAGAGAGAGAGTAAGGGGCAAAAAGAGAGAGAGAGAGAGAGAGAGAGAGAGAGAGTAAGGGGCAGAAAGAGAGAGAGAGAGAGAGAATGAGAATTATGTATTCACATGTGTGTGTATGTAGCGACCAGCTGATCGCAGCGATCGCCCCGCGTAAGCATCCGCGTCTGACGATGAATCGCGCCGCCCTTGCCTGCCTCCGATCCGTTATAAGTTAATTACTTCTTTTAATAATTAAAAGCGGAAAACTAAGCGTCGGACGAAATTTTACTAATGGAAAAATCGTCTTAGAATTGACTCAAAAATGTGTCATTTCACGGACAATATACTTATTTTGAATCACCCTGTATATATATATATCAGGGTATATATATATCAGGGTGTCCCTGTATATATATATCAAAGTGTCCCATTTTAAGTGTCCACCCCACATATATCTCTTATTTTTTATTTTAGAGAAAAATGGTTCAGACATGTTTTGTATGGTTTCAAGGGAGCCATAAGATGGTACCACTGATTTGACCTTGAAGAGTCAGTTGAAGGTCACGTGAAGGTCATCTCAATTTTTTTAAATGGCACCCCCTATTTTTAATCACATACTCTTGTAGCTGACCTCGAGAGCTTTGCAAAACACTATAATAAAATAATTTGTCGTTGAGTATTTTTCGAGTTATGAGACTTGAATAATTTTTTAATTCTAAATCATAAAATATCTGGTAAAATATTCATTTTTCGATTATTTTACTTTAATACTTTTATGCACAAAATAATGTGAGAAATCGATTGGTGTAAAGAAAACGCATAGTTGTTTCAAAGAAAAAATATGTAATTTGCAATTAACAATTCCTGCAATTACCGATTCCTAAGCCACTTCGGTCGGGCTGCCAAGGAGTTGAGGTATTCGCGCGTCCACCGTTCCCAGAAATGGTCGCGCATTTTTTGGAGGAGCCACCGAGACAGCGCGGTGTCCTTCTCGTCGGTGAGTGACGGCTCTGGGATGGCCAGGAGGGGGGCTCCGATTAAAAAGTGTCCTGGTGTCAGCGCCGTCAAGTCGGGTCGTCCATCAGCGGCTGCAACGGGTGTGAATTCAGGCATGCCTCCACCTGGGAGAGAAGGGTCGCCATTTCCTCATAGGTGAGAGTGGCTTCACCGATGACTCTTCGGAGGTGGTGCTTCGTTGACTTGACGGCTGTCTCCCAAAGTCCGCCGAAGTGTGGTGCTGCGGGGGGGTTGAACCTCCATCTCACGCCGTCGGAGGCTGCTGCGTGAGCTATGCGACGGCCGTCGGAGGAAGAGGCGCGGAACATTTCCCGCAGCTCCCGGTCCGCTCCGACGAAGTTCGTGCCGCAGTCGGAGAAAACTTCGTTGCAGAGGCCTCGCCGGGAGACGAAGCGGCGGAAGGCAGCCAGGAACGCCTCGGCCGTATAATCAGTGACTGCCTCCAAGTGAACAAACTGCCTTGGTGCTGAGGCAGACGAAGACGGAGATGAAGCCCTTGCTTGCCCGGTGGCCTCGTCCCTTGTTGGTCCGGATGAGGATCGGGCCGGCGTAGTCGACCCCGGTGCGCAGAAACGGGCGTGCAGGAGTCACTCGTTCCCGCGGAAGATTGCCCATTAGCGGTTGCGGTGCGACGACTCTCCATCGCGTGCTAACGCATCGGTGGATTGCCCGTTTGACGACGGCTCGACCACGTGGGATCCAGACTCGTTGACGAAGCAATCCGAGAGTAAGCTGTACTCCTCCGTGCAGACTCCGCCGGTGGCAGGAATCCACCAGCAGGTGGATTAATTTGGACTCCGGCGGGATGATGACGGGGTGCCGCTCGTCATGAGACAGGAGCGTGTTTGAGTCGTCCCCGGACTCGCATTACCCCGCTGTCATCGAGGAACGGACTTAACTTGGCGAGCGGACTTCGTGACGGCAAGCCACGTCCGTGGCTTAGTGCTGCGAGTTCGCTATGGAAGTGAAGTGCCTGTGTGGTGCGAATCCAACGTACGAATGCGTCCTCGATCTCATGAGGCTCGAGCGGGAGCGCGGTGTGAGTGGCGTCGCGTGTCCTCCGGATGCCTGGTCTCCGCCATCGAAGGCACCAAGCTGTTACCCTGAGGAGCCTGTGCAGCGATGAGAAGCGAAGGAGGAATCCAGGTTCGGTGACGTCTTTGATGGCGGCTGCGAGTGAGGAGGCGGCTCTCTGCTCTGGCAAGTCTGCGTCCGGCAGGACGCCGTCGTCGCTTGGCCACCTTGCCTTGTCCTCTCGGAGCCAGGATGGTCCGGTCCAAAGGATGATCGACCAGGTCGCTTGGCAGGACTCCCCGGGAGGCGCAGTCGGCTGGATTGTCCTTGCCCGGCACATGTTGCCATTGCGCTTCGGGTAGTTGGACCTGGATTTGCGACACTCTATTGGCCACGAAGGTCTTCCAGCGGGAGGCGTGGCCGTGGATCCAGTGCAGCGTGACCCTAGAGTCCGACCAGAGGAAGACTGGAGCTGAGGACAAACTCAACAAAGTGCGCGTGTGAACGACGAGGTTCGTTAAAAGTGCGGCCGCGCACAGCTCGAGTCGTGGCAAGGACACGGGCTTCACGGAGGCAACCTTGGCTTTCGCGGACAGCAAGCTGAGTGTGGCGGTTTTTCCGGTGGAGGAGCGGAGGTACATCACGGCGGCGTACCCTCACTCTGAGGCCTCGGCGAATCCATGGAGTTCGACGCGTGAGTGTGGACCGTCGCTGCCGAGCCAGCGAGATATTCTTATCTCGTTGAAGCGTGGAAGTTGTGAGAGCAAGTTCCTTCAGGCAAGCGCGTCCGTCGATGGAAGAGGAGTGTCCCAGTCCAGTTTCTAGAGCCAGACTGGATCAAGATTTTAGCCCGCATTGTGACCGGAGTGAACCAGCCCAGCGGGTCAAACATTCGAGCGGTTTCGGACAGGACACGCCGTTTTGTGAGTTCGTTAAAGTGACGTGCCTGTTCCGAAAATGTGAAGTGGTCACTGACCGGGTGCCAATGAAGACCAAGTGTCGCGTGGCTTTCGTGTGACCACGAGTGAGGTGAGTGGGTGAGCCGGTGCTCGTGTGGAACTCCGTCCAGAATGCTGAGGTTGTTGGCCACCCATTTCCGAAGCGGAAACCCACCCGCCATGCAGAAGCTGCGGAGTTCTCGTTGTGCTGAGGTGGCCTCCGAGAGGGTGCTCGCGCCGGTCACGATGTCGTCCACGTAAGTATCGCGGCGCAGCGCGACAGCTCCTCGCGGAAATCGTTGACCTTCGTCGTCGGCGAGCTGGTGTAAGGTCCGTATGACGAGGAATGGCGCGCACGCCAAGCCATACGTGACCGTTCGTAAGCGGTATTCGCGGATGTCGTTGGCGGCGCGATGCCACCAAAGTATCCGCTGATGATCGCGGTCGTCCGGATGGATGAGAATTTGGCGGTACATCTCCTCGATGTCTGCCACAAAGACGTAGCGGTGCCAGCGCCAACGAAGGAGTACGTCAGCGAGAACTGGCAGGAGATTGGCGCCAGTCAGCAGACTGGCGTTGAGTGAGGTGCCCAGAGGCGTGAGCTGAGACCCGTTGAACACGACCCTGAGCTTCGTGGTAGTGCTCGTCTCTCGCAACACTCCATGATGCGGTAAGTAGCACTTAGCGGTGTTCAATTTGTCGGATGAAGTATCTACAACTTCCATGTGTTGCAGGTCGTCGTATTCTCGCATGAAGCTGTGGTAGAGGCTGCCGAATTGAGCGTCCTTGTTGCAGCGGCGCTCCATAGCGTGGAGCAGATGCTCGGCCGGCCCGCGGGTTTCCGTGAGAGAGGGCGGAGAGCTGGCGAAGGGAAGTCTCGCGATGTAGTGTCCCGTGCTGGTGTGTACGTGCGTGCGGGCGAAGATGTTCTCGTATCTTCTCTCCTCTGGGATGAGAGCGACGGGAACGGCAGGCTCCTTTTCCTGCTCCCAGAAGAGCTGCACCAAGTCAGTCAGCTGGCGGTCGATCGTGCATTGATGGGCGGTATGGCCGGCTTGTGTCGTGGCTCGATGACCGCCCGACAGGATCCATCCGAGGGAGGTCTTTTGCGCGATGGGCTCGTCCCTTGCGGAGCCCATCCTGGAGAATGGCGGAGTAGGCATCCGCGCCGAGCAACATCTCGATTGGATCTCGGTCAAGGTATTGTGGATCGGCCAGGAGGAGACCGCGTATGTGTCGCCAGGTAATGCTGGCTCGCACGACAGGCCCCTGGTAGGTTGAGAGGCGCGGAAGGATATACGCCTGAACCGAGAGCGCTGCTCCAGTGATTGCCGAGGAAAGCGTCATCGACAGCCGTCCGCGGGTTGCTCCGGATGCTCCTCCAGCCGGCTATTCTCATCGAGGAGCGGATCCGCGGCAGACGCAACCGTTGCGCCAAAGCCTCGGTGACCAAGGAGACCTCGGATCCTTGGTCAATTAGCGCTCGGACGTCGTGCGGTCTTCCTAGATGATCCTTGATGGTGACCCGTGCGGTGGCGAGGAGGATCGCCTTGCGGTCCGACGCGAAGTGTGTGGCGGACAACGAACTCGCTCCGTCGGATTACGAGTACGCGTCGTGCAGTAGCGGTGTCATGCCTTACATGTGAAGCAAGTCTTGGTCGACTGACACTTCGCCAAGAAGTGATTACCGAGGCAGTTGAAGCACAGCTTGTTTGCCTCCACAAGGTTTTTCCGTTCGGCCACGGTTTTGGCCTTGAACGTCGTGCACTGCATAATGGAATGCTTTTCTTTGCAGGCGGCGCAAGTTGAGGAGTCAGATACGCGTTTCGCGAAGTGCGACTTCGCGGACCGAGAAGCTTCTTCGGATTTCGCGACAGTGGCCGGCTGCACGGCATTCAGCGTGAGAATTTGCTTTGCGATAAAATCCATAAGGACGTCGTTACTCGGTTGACGGAATCGCGGATGGAGGACTCCCACTGCATTCTGGTTTGCGGGTCGAATCGCTCAACAAGGAGGTAATTAAAAAGATCCATTCCATGTGTGTCTATAGGCCTGTCGATGCTCTCCTGGGCATTGATGGCAGTTGTGGCGGCGTAAATTCTGCTAAGTTCGTCGGCGGTTGCGGCCTTCATCTTCGGCACGACGGTGTACGCGGCGAAGTTGGCGCGAATGAGCTCTCGCTTGTTCTCGTAATGAGAGCTTAGGATGGACCACGCCCACTCGTAATTGCCCCCGACGATTGGCAATGATCTTATTAATTTTTCCGCAGGACCCTAGCAGACAAGCTAGTGCGGAGATAGTAGAGCTTTTCCACGTTGGAGATGGACGAATTGCCCCCGATGATGGACAAGAAGATATCGCGAAACGCGGGCCAATCTCCGTATGCGCCAGAGAATGGCTGAAGCTTGATCCGCGGCAGCGAGGTTTTGAGCGTCTGTTCTTGGTGAGTCTCAACCTTCGGCGTGGTGGACGACTCGCCTTTGAGATTGGGTGTGTTTCGGGGACGCATCGCTACAGTAGCGCTATTGTAGCGCTACATAAGCGTGTTTCACGTTATTAAAGCGCTATAGTACCCAGACAGCACACATGTCCAAAAAACATCTAAAAAACGACTTAAAAACGTCTTCTAGAAAGTCCTCTAGACATCTTTAAGACATCTTTTGGCCTTTTTGTGCTGTCTGGGTAGCGCTATAAAAGTACGTTTCAGGACTTTCTGCTACAATTGTAGCGGTCGCCATTTTTTTCTGCTACAATTGTAGCAAAAAAGCTGTAGCGCTACTGTAGCGATGCGACCCCGAAACACACCCATTGTTCGCGTACTCGACAAGCATGCTCCGCTGAGATACGTAAGTTGATTTCGCGATATCAATAAAGTCTGCCTTTGCGTACTCACTCTCGAGATATTTGTCTTTCAGCGTTGTCCTTATGAGATCGTGATGAGCCTCAAACTTGGTCCACAGAGTGTCGAGGATGCGAAGGCGAGCTTGGACTGCTTCAGCTGTGATGCTGGAGATGCCCATCTTACGTAGATTGTCCACGGAGCGGGACATTCGCCCGTGGATGTCGTTCTGCGCTTCTAACAATGCCTTTAAATCGGCACTCATTGTGATTGTCTTTCTGCACAGCTTCGCGCACTGGATGTCACGAGAACTTCACTCACGAATTGCGGATGTGGATGGCAAAAATCCGGCTCGAAGGACCAGAAAATGTTCGCGAATAAATGAGTTTATGCGGAAAGCGCGTCCCGAAGAATTTTGTGACAGGACACCACACAATTGAACGCAACAATAAGACACGACACGTATATTTTTGTATTTTTTATAGAATTTTATTTAAACACAAATAATAAAGTTTTACACAAAAATATATATAATTATTTTTAGACACTGAAATAATGCCGGAATAGAGAAAAGTCTGAGTGAGCAAGCGGTCATGTACAATAAGCGGTTGAACAAAGCGATTTTTTAGCGAAGCGGTTTTACTGTAAAAGCGGTTTAACGAAAAGTACGAGACTTCCACAGGTCCACGCGCGGTGCCCCTTATATTGCGAGCGAGATTTTGGGCCCGTTGCGGCGTGGACCAATTAATTTCATATTTTAGCGGTGACCTCAGGGCGCCGCGCATTATTGGCCGCCGATGAGGTCAGGAGTTAAGATTTTTGTACTTGTCATGCGCACGGTCTTTTTTGATCAGCTGATCGTGACGTATGGGTGCGCATGCCCTTTTGTTGCTTAGCCATTGTCGACGGTTGACAATGTTATTGTCAACTGTTTATACTGAGCGTTTCTTAAGTACCGAAAAAAACGAGAGATAACTCGAACGGTCGGGTTTTTGTCGAAAATAGATTTTTCGAGAAGTTTCTCGTCGCCCGTTAATTTCGAATTTTATAATAGAAAAAGGCGGATTTTAGCTACGCGAATATTAAATTAAAAATGATGACTATGAATTTCGAACAATATATATATATATATATATATATATATATATATATATAGAGGGTGATTCAAAATTTATTAATGTATATATATACATTAATAATAAATATTAAATTTATAACAACAATTTATCATTCATATATATATACAGGGTGATTCAAAATTTATTAATGTATATATATATATATATATATATACATATACATTAATAATACATATTAAATTCAACAATTTATCATTCATATATATACAGGGTGACCCATTTTAACTTAGGCAGCCAAATAACTCGAAAAATAAGCACACTACGAAAAAATGGTTAGAATCAAAATTTCGTCATTTCGAGGGGGACGTACAATGACGTTAAAATCAGCCCCCCCACCCCTCCCCCTGGGCGGTGAGGGGGGGCAAGTTTGAAATCTTAAATGGGAACCCCTATTTTTCATTGCATATTCTTGTAGCTTATCTCGAGAGCTTTCCAAAACACTATAATTAAGTACCTTTTTATTAAGTACTTTTTGAGTTATAAGGCTTGAAATAATTTCTTAATTTTACATAAACCATAAAATATCTAGTAAACCATTCATTTTTCGATTATCTTACCTTCATACTTTTATGTACAAAATAATGAGAGGAATCAATTGGTGTAAAGAAAACACCTAGTTGTTTCTAAGAAAAAATATGTAATTGTTAATTGCTAATTACATATTTTTTCTTAAAAATAACTATGTGTTTTCTTTACACCAATCGATTTTTCACATTATTTTGTGCATAAAAGTATTAAGGTAAAATAATCGAAAAATGAATATTTCACTAGATATTTTATGATTTATGTAGAATTAAGAAATTATTCAAGCCTCATAACTTGAAAAATACTCAACAAAAAAATATTTTATTATAGTGTTTTGGAAAGCTCTCGAGGTCAGCTACAAGAATATGTAATAAAAAATAGGGGGTGCCATTTAAAAAAATTGAGGTGACCTTCACGTGACCTTCAAATGACTCTTCAAGGTCAAACCAATGGTACCATCTTATGGCCCCCTCGAAACCAAACAACTTTTGTCTGAAACATTTTTCTCTCCTGGGTTTGGTTTTCGAGTTATTTGGCTGCCTAAGTTAAAATGGGTCACCCTGTATACAGGGTCTACCAAAAGTGTGGAAACCCCTAAATATCTCGGAAAATATACGTTTTACAGAAAAGTGTTTCCAACAAAAGTTGTAGGGTTTAAGAAGATCTATATACTGATTCTATCAGTTTGACCTTGGATGGCGTCGTCAAGGTCAGGTCAAGGTCACATTGACTTTTTTAAATGACACCCCCTACATTTGATTGCATATTCTTATAGCTTAATTCAAGAGCTTTCCAAAACACTATAATAATGTTCATTTTTATTAAGTACTTTGCGAGTTATGAGGGTTGAATGATAGAGTAGCGCCGGTATTAACATTATCCAAGGTGTACTACATGGAGGTTACTCGCTCGGATTTGCATCTGTTGTGTGTGTGATCCAGCTAACTAAGGCAAGATCGATTCCTCAACATATCCTCATATTTCGCTGAAGTCAAATTGCCAAAAAATTGCTCCATAAAACGTGTATGAAACGTCTCGTTAGTTCCTTCATTTACCGCTATGTGACGCACTACATGCAGTCTAACTCGCATTTAAAATTCAACTAAGAATGTATAAAGCTATCAAAGAACGAGCACCTTCTAACTTCAGCTTTGAGCAAGCAGAAATTAATTGTTATCGTCCAAATACAACGTACGATTAATTAAAATTAAACGTTTTAAAAATGGCTGGCGACTTGTCGGAACGTGAAAGAATCACTATCCTCATGATGCGTGGATGGGGTGATAACGAAAGATCGTTCTCTGATGTCGTTCGATTATTTAATGACACGTATCCGAACCGTCGAATTAATAAGTCCACTGTGTTAAAAACAATAGAACGTTTTAGACAAACTGGTAGCGTAAGAAATCGCTCTAAGTCAGGAAGACCATTGTCTGCAACCAACGAAGAAAAACAACTTGATGTTTTGCAGACATTTATTGAAGATCCCAATTCTAGTGTTCAGAGAGTCGCTCAAACTCACGATATTGCTCCCATGTCGGTTTGGAGAATTTTAAAGAAGAACAAGTTCCATCCATATAAATTGCAATACGTTCAAGAATTGCAAAACGGAGATGAGGAGCGTCGTATACATTTCTGTGAAAGAATGATGGCACTAATAGATGTCCGGCCCATCTTCCCTTATCAAATTGTTTTCACAGACGAGGCAACTTTTACCTTAACGGGAGAAGTTAATAATCAAAATTTTCGTTTCTGGTCAGATGAGAATCCGAATTGGGTGCGGGAAACTCACACACAACATCCACAAAAAATAAATGTATGGTGCGGAATAATAGATGGCTATTTAATAGGGCCGTTTTTTTTTGAAGAATATTTGAACGCTCAAAGGTATGAGAGATTACTTGTTGATCAAATAATTCCAGCCATACAGAATACTTTTCCAAATAATTTCCAAGAAATATGGTTTCAGCATGATGGAGCTCCTGCTCATTTTGGTGCAGGACCACGTCGTATTTTAAATGAGACTTTTCCGCTACGGTGGATAGGAAGAAGGAACGGAAATGAGGGAGGAGAGGATTGGCCACCTCGGTCACCAGATCTAACTCCTCTTGATTATTATCTATGGGGATATCTGAAGAGTAAGGTTTACAGAACAAAACCTAAAACCATTCACGAATTGATACAGCGAATAAGGGATGAAATGGCTTTGATACCTTTTGAAACGAATCGTAAAGTCATTTCTACATTCTACCAAAGATTAGCATATTGTCAGGAAGTAAATGGCAGCCACTTTCAGCATTTACTTTAACACATTGAAACACATTTGCAATCGTTTGGTGCAACCTAACCTGATCTCTGTATACACGCACCGCACGCACGCACACGCACACATTTCGAACAATTATTATGATAAATGAGCATCCACAAATTTATTTACTGTTTACTATGTCGATTGCTTTCCAGGTCTTTAAATGCTCGATTGTAATTTGGTTGGGTCTTTGCTTTTGCTGACTGGATCCACGACCGATCTTGCCTTAGTTAGCTGGATCACACACACAACAGATGCAAATCCGAGCGAGTAACCTCCATGTAGTACACCTTGGATAATGTTAATACCGGCGCTACTCTATCATTCAACCCTCATAACTCGCAAAGTATTTAATAAAAATGAACATTATTATAGTGTTTTGGAAAGCTCTTGAATTAAGCTATAAGAATATGCAATCAAATGTAGGGGGTGTCATTTAAAAAAGTCAATGTGACCTTGACCTGACCTTGACGACGCCATCCAAGGTCAAACTGATAGAATCAGTATATAGATCTTCTTAAACCCTACAACTTTTGTTGGAAACACTTTTCTGTAAAACGTATATTTTCCGAGATATTTAGGGGTTTCCACACTTTTGGTAGACCCTGTATATATAATATATATAATGTATATAATATATATATATATATATATATAATGTATATTATATACACTTATTCTATATATATTTTTATATAATTTGCTTATATATTAAAAGAATATATCTATATATATATATATATATATATATATATATATATATATATATGTATATACATACTTTTTTTAATATAATATCTTTTAGCAAATTTAAAAAAAGAAGTGATATAATCCCCAAAAACTTACCTTTTTAAAAAAAGGTAAAAAAAGGGCGCTAAGTTCATGCACTAATTGTATCCAACTGTCATATTGTCTACAAAAATAGTGATATACAAAAATTGCGCCAACTAAGAATAAAAATTTGTACAAGATAAATAGTAAAAAAAATTTTAATTAAAAAAACTTGGCGCTGCCAATAAAATTGGCATATATTCCAATTAAATATATGTTTAACAGCAAATATAATTGCTGGACATTTATTATTAATTCTCTTAAGATCTTCTGGATTTGAAAATTTAGACTTTTAAGTTGATTTAATTTACTACGCGAACACAAGATTTTTAATAAAACGTGTTAGTTCTCGCACGCTGTTACCAGACTGCATACGCCAGCAGCACG